CAATTTTGCGAGTAAACATGGTAACAGTGCAAAGTTTATGTACGGAATTGGAACGCTTGACTTGCGAACTTACAAACAAACGCTAAATCGTAGCACCAAAGCAACAATTTTGGGCTATGTCAGTTATTACCGAGGCTGCTCACAATTTCATTGAGAATTTGTCTTTAACTTTTACAGTGAATTAGTAGATTCAGAAGGCTGGTATGGAGTCTATTTCAAAGATCATCCACATATATTTTCTTAAATCTACGCCGATTAAGTATCCTATGGAGCAAAATGCCAACCATAATCCTACGTAAGGAATTGTGGTAAATTTTCGCTCGGAACGCATTGTGGCTGTTGTTTTGCGAGTTCATTTCGTGCATGGTTAAGTAAGTAGCTTTGCAATTGTGCCTTTGCTGAACTTGCTTAACCATGCGCGCAGTCCCTTGCTGCCCACGAATGCGGCCTTTCATCGGTCCATCGTTGTGCACTTTATCACAAGGGCTTTTATAGCGTATGTCGTCGAATTTTCAGAAAGCGTTCGGCAGAAAACACTGAATCATCAACGGCAATAGAGGGCGGCGTTGCCGCAAAGCAACCTCGCTTGGATGTTAATGCTGCAAAAAGTAAGTCATTCACAGTGTTGATACTGCTGTATCTCAGCGCTTAGCTGAGATTTGATCTGGGGTCTCGCAGATTTTGTGGGTTAAATGCTTAGTTCCCGTGTTAGAGGGCTATAGGTTGATTCATATATGTACTAATATGAATTAACCGGAGTACAATAGTTGAATAAAAATATAATTTTATAGCGAATGTGACAGTACGAATTTTTGTTTCGTTGGATTTTCCGAATGCTGTGAATGGTAGTGTGCAGTTTTTAACGCACCTTCACTAAATCATCGGTGAATCTAACTATAGCAGTGGTAATGTCACAATCACAGGCAATGCCTTTCTGGGGTGTTGCATTGAAGAATAATTTTTGTTTTCTTTTGCAGTTAATATTCTCCACTCTTTCATTCTTCTTGTAATGTAGCAGAACATAGGCTATCGAATTAAGCATGCATTTAACCCGTTTTTCGACAGTTTTGTTTAGCTTTTCCGAAGAGAAATGGAGGCCCACAGTCGGCACCTTCTGTTACCAAACCGGTCAACTCAGTCAGGAGTGGTCTAATAAAAAAGAAAATTCCGCCAAAACGGGCTTCATACAATGAGTGGCAGAATGGTCCAGGCTACTTCAGCGGAAGTGGATCAGCAGGCAGAGATCGATTCCGTCAGAGACCGAGACCTTTCCAAGATGTACAATTGTGAAACATTTTGGCTTATCTTAAATTTTGATCAGATGTTTTCTCTTATAGACACGTCCTCGAGAAATTCCACCACTATTCCCGACAAGAAGCGGCGGTCCTCCTGGTGTCTCACCATGGTCAAGACCACCTTTTCAAGAGTACGCTTCTCTGATTTTGTTGGAGTTCACGTGTTGCTGAGTCCTTGTTTAGGGATGTTCGTACTCTGGAACAGGTGATGCGCAGAGCAGCTCACGACAATTCCTCATCTTTTGAAGCAGCAAGACAAGTGGAAAGACTTGGGCTTGGTCCTGCTATGGGAACTATGTTGAGTTCTGTAGCTGAAAGAGTACGATTGTATTCATTTATATTAACATTTCCTACCATGCAGAATTATGTTTTGCTTTCAAAAGGTTCTGTCAAAAAAAGAAAACATTAACTTGGCGCTATATCGCGGTGGTTCTTTCATAGACACATAGAAACTATGTTGTTGAGAAAAACACTACCTTTACTTTGTCATTATCAACAGCACACCTAGTATGTCAAAAAAAA